TTTTTTACGAAGATTTTTTTACATGAGAGTGACTATATTGCCCGACCGAGTTAACCTTACCCTACAAATCATCGATCCTTTCTGATGCGCTCTCATCCGTACGATGTATACTGTGTATACCGTTTGCCCAAGCCAGCCACAAAATTTCTAAAGGAGGAGAACACAGGAGCGATAGCGAGGCAGCAGGAAGGGGGAATGGATCTCCGCACTCACGCCGCCCAAAAGAGGGCTCTAACTGGGGCTGTTCGGCACGAGGTCGACGAGAGCGACAGTAGCGAGTCTGGGCCGTCCCAAGAAGGCTCCCAGGACGACGTGTGGCTCCCGACACCCGCTGCGAGCGGTTCTGGGTCGGGTGATGGAGAGTCATCTGAGGCTCTCAGTGTGTCGGATGTGCCCGAATCGACCAGTAGTACTAGCGAAGGTAGTCTCCCTACACGAGTAGTGGCGTTACCGCCAAACAAGGTGGAGCTTGACTTCCATTGAAACAGCATTGTCGTCTGAAGCTACTTATGTATCCTCGACCGCAGTTCTCAGCAAATTTCATATGGTTGATTATGGATTCAAGTTCAAGACCCCAACAGCGCGAACGATATCGAGTCTTCCCGCTAAGCTGTTTGGGCCAAGAAGCAATGTGATGATCGTGGATCCGGGGCTGATTGGCTCTATCGAGAACAATGACAGCCTGATAAATACTAGTGTTTCCACTGAAGATTTTGCGGGCGCGACAAAGGAGAAAATTCTGATCCCGGTGTGCTGCAGCAAGAAGCGTTGGTGCTGCATTATGCTGGACTTGGAGACGACGGACATTTGCATCTATGACCCCATGGGTTCTAGCTATATTATCCGAGTTCGGGCACTTGCGGAGAAACTAGCTACATGCCTACCAGACTATACGCCAAGGAAATACCGCGTTCAGCCATACCAGAGCGATCTAGGTGTTCAAGTAGATTCGTACAACTGCGGTGTGTATGTTCTGGTAGCGTTCGAGTTGTTTGCTGGTGCAGCGGGGCTGCCGTAGCTTAGCGTCAGAGGAAGACGGTTAACTCAAAGAGTAAAGGGGTTAACTCAACACCCTAATAAAGGTTAATAGGTCCTTAATATCCGAAGGTACCTACTAACGACAACCTTAATAAAAGGGGACGTTACTCTTTTGTGTTCTAAATCTCAACTGTTTATTTTTCTTTTTTCGGGAAGCCGCCTATGTGGTAAATGTATGGGGTTAACTATCTAACATAGTAAAACCCAATCAAATGCATATCCTGTGGCTCTCGGCCTATGTACT